AGGAGAATCGAAGCCTGAGACGGAGACTCTGGGCGCCGATGTCTGCAGCAAGGTCAGGGATATCATCGCCCACGGTAACGCTGAAGAGCTGACAGTCAAGAAGGTAAGCGGGTTTTGTCTCAATTAGTTTCTGGACAAGAACTGATGGTGGCATGCTGCTCCATGATTGTGCAGATTGTACGGCAGCTGAGCGCGGACTTGGGTCGCGACATGTCGTCGCAGAAGAAGGCTATCAAGGAGTTCATCACGAACGACCAGGCGGAAATTTAGACTGCACTTTGAAGTTTTGTTCAATTCTTCACGGCAGCTACAGTAGTTCTATACGAATACTTGCTGCGTCCAAGCTTTTCATGACCCAGATCACACTTACGTGTGGCATGATAGCTTTTTGGATGCAGCTTGGTATTTTCTACAATTTAATGCCTTTTGATGTCTTTTTGCCTTATTTATTGTCCTTTATCACATCTGGTTTTGTGGGTCCCACCTGAGAGGCCGCCTTAGAGGCCGAACCAGTTTTGGATTTGGCCTTTGGGGAAGCGCGAGCATGCTTATGAGGACGGGGGGATCCGGTGCTAGGAGCGGGAGATGCACTACGCGGACGTTTCGCAACTGACGGACCGCCCCACTTACAGATGGAAGAGGAGCAGAGACGCTGGCAGCACGAGAGGGCCCCGACAAGGGAGGAAGGGGATCCGACACGGCAGCTGTCACCAGTGCCAGTCGTCGACGTGCCAAATCCCGCTCCGATTAGCCACGATCGCGCTCCAGGACCAGCTGTTGCTGCTGAATTTGGGCTGCAGCGAGTTGATCCCGGAGTTTCGCGGCGGTCGCATCGGCTTCTTTCAATTTGTCACCTGGATTGACAATAACGAGTGAATATGGGGTTACTAGCAAGGACTAAAAGAGGATCCACGTACTCGTGCGGCGAAGCTTGGATTCCAGCTCTGTTTGTGCACGCTTGGCATCCGCCCACTCGGTAGCCGCCTTGTCCCGCTGGAGCTCGCTGTCCGCCAGCTTCGCTTGGATCTCGTCGCGCAATTGAGTCATGCGCACGAATTCTTCGAGCGCGTAATCTCGTCCGGCAGACGCTTTCTCGAACGACTCCTTGGTGTCTTGCAACTCTTCAGAGAGTTGAGCCAGGGCTACATCCGGCGATGGGGGAGGTGGATTTGGCGCGGGGGACCCTCCACGCGCCAACCCTAAGGCGGATCCGCCATGGGTGGATCCCACATAGTCGTTGGTCACCACCTCCTCCTGGGTCAGACGCAACTCGTCACGGATCCGGTCCAAGCTCGCATCCGCAGCTGCCCCAGCAGTCTGGGAATCCTCCAGATCCCGCTCGAGGTCGTGGATCCGGGATTGGAGCTGGTGGATCTCAGATCCAGCGAGCGCCATCTCCCTAAGGAGATGGTCGTTGTCATCCCGCATGACATCTCGCTGACGGGAGGCGCGATCCAGCCGTCCGGTCAGGTCGCGGATCTCGACCGCCTGATCAGCCAACAAGAGTCGCAGGTCCTGCGACCGAGAGGCCGCACGGTGCTCCCACCCCTGGATCTCCATAGCCTGGTCATGGACCTGGGCTCGCAAGGTCTGAAGTTGGGTAGTGTGCAGAGACGCAGCTTGGTCTTGGGCATCTTGAGCCGTCTGGAGATCCGCCGTCAGGGTTTGCACCTGATCGGAAAGAGCCTGGGCTAGAACCCGCAGATCGGTGGGCGACATGGAAGACGGACTGACCGGAGGTGTGGTGGATGGGGCCTTGCCCGACGATTTGCCGGTACGCTTGGCGGGAGACATGTGTCGCGAAGGGGAGAAAGCGGTTGTGGATGCTGGTAATGCACGCCGTGAACGCTGTTGTGCAGCGCCGACAACGTACAGGAGGCGATTGTGGTGAAGTGCTTTCTCAGAAATAAGAGAATGGGCCTGACGCGGGGTCACTATCCCGAATCAGTGACAATTTCAAGTGATTAGAGAGGATTTGGGTTGGCTGGCACGGATGCAAGTTGCCTGTGGTGGATTAGCCATGACGAGCAGCACCCCGTATGAAGGGACGATGGATCTGGTTTGAGCGATGTACGAGAAGGCAAGATCCACCAAGACTTACCTCGGATCCACCCTTACCTGGATTCACTTAAATGGATATGGGATATACTATACAAGAGTGGATCGGGTGTGGATCTTATGAAGGAAGAATGGTCGGTGCCCTCGGATAATGGATCTAGTAGCCACGGCTAATGAAGAGTCAAGATCCACCGCGAGGTACCCCGGATCCCATACTTCCGAGTTCGGATCCATGGAGGGAGGATCCCGCCTTGAGGGACCTGGATCCAGGGTATAGGGATGATGGATACAGTGAATCTCGAACTTTCGTGGGACAATGGAGATCACAGACGGTTGCGAGATGATGTTGGATGATTGGAGAGCTCAGATCCACGACGAGTGTACACTTACAGTGAGGTGGATCCAAGCGACCTGGATCCGGATGAGTGTACCCATAATAGGGTAACCATGATGACTACGTCATAGATCCGGTGGATCTGAAGATAACACAGCTGGGATGATGGGTCAAGGGAAGAAGGGACATGCAGCCGAGCCTGGTAAGGGATTTAGCAGATGAAAGACATAGAAGGTAGAAATCCAGGGCAGGTATAGGCTTAAATATCAATACAGAATTCAATTTGCACAGTATCACGCAAGTGCCTTCCTGCCCTCAAGAACCGGAACTACATTTGGCCGTACGAGCTCGGAGAAGGTTGGGAATTGCGAATCTAGTGTTGGTAGTGATAACTGGATAATGCATTGGCCAGATCCTACAACCTAGTGAGCTTTTCCTTTACTTGTGCAGATCCGACAGGTTAACCGAATTTACTACTTGGTCGGTTACACCCTAGAGGCTCTCAACTCTCAAGATCCCGTCACAGGAGGCGGCAAGTACGTCGCAAAGGAACTACAAAGGCAAGGAAACACACCCGCAAGGCAACCCTACGGCCAGATCCACGATCTAGGCCCCGGATCCATAAGCTCGAATATTCGCTTAGAATTCGGA